GTTTCTTCTTGCATTCAATTCAGACCTGTTCAAAAGGAAGGGGATCTTTTTTCTTGTGAAGTTATTTTTAATATTTATTTCTTTTTTAAAATAATATTTGCTATTAATTCATAGCAGAGTTGTCAAGTGACTTTTTTTTCCTGAAAAAATCAATGATTCAAGTCAAAATATTTTTATTTAGGATAATTTATAAATGTATATTTAAGCTTGTGATCTTTTTTAAAAATTTGACCTCAATCTTATTAAAGGTTTTGTAGAGAGAATGATTTCAATCTGCACACATTTCAGTTGTTTCTTTATGCATTCAATTCAGATCTATTCAAAAGGAATGGAATCTTTATTCTTGTTAGTTAATGAATAGTTAATTAGTTAGCTAATGAAGTTATTTTTAATATATATATGTATACCTATTGCTTTTTGAAAATATTTGCCATCAATTTGTAACAGAATTGTAAAGTGACTTCTTTTTTTCGAGAAAAAAATCAATGATTCAAGTCACTGAATTCTATCCTTCAATTAATATTAATTTCCAGTTTGTTTTTTTAATTAAATTTTCCGGGGGAAAAATTATATTTTCTGATAAAATAAAAAAATTATTATTTTTTATAAAAACATTTTTTTTCTCATAATTATTGAAAAATGGTCGAATGATGATGTCACACTCCAATGAAAGAATTTTTATTGACTGATCTTCAAACTCTGCTTCTGTAAACAAAATTTGTATTATTTCTTTTTTGTTCTCCCCTCTCACATTGTGAGATGCTGGGCAAAATTAAATTAGGATAGTTTTTTTTAAAAAATTTGAATCTATAGATCTAGAATAAAATATTATTGATTATGAAATTAATAAAAAGTAGAGATGTGAATGGCTACAAGAAAAAATTTGTGATGTAGTTCAGTAATTGGCACGATATAAGAAGATGCTTGATGTTATTTTTGTTTCCTGTAAAAAATAAACTAACCAAATGAAGAAAAATAAATGTTTTTTACAGGGTATCCATGCACCTAGAATAGGTATCAAGAAAATCATGGAAAGTAATGAATTTAGGTTGCCAAAAAATCTGATTTTTAAAATGGAATTCACCCTTCTCCCCAGTTTCATAGTACTCCAAATAACTAAATCCCCACTCACAGTCATACTTTATTAAAACATAAAATGTTTTTATTGTACTCTTTAAAAATTATGGTGTCCTTTGAAAAAAAAAAAAAGGCATTATTTCTAGAGGGAAATATCTTTTAAACTTCGGTGATTTCAAAATTTTTATTATTATTCTTTTTTTTCTTTCTTTTTTTTTTTTTTTTTAAATTTAATCAATTTAAAATTCTAGCTGAACCAAGGCTCTTTAGAATATAATTCTACTGAAAAAACAAAGAAAAAAATATTTGCTTTTGTATATTTTTCAACTATTTTATTGCTGCTAGCAACTCTTTCTTTTTCTCAATTTTTTTAATTTAAGATCTATAGATCTAAAGATGCAGAGTATAACAGTTTTGGTTATGCCTATCATTTCAATTAATATTATTATAAAGCTTCTTTAAATTTATTGTTGTTTTTTGTCAGAGAAAATAGTAACTTCGCTAAGTCATAAGAAATTCCTGGAATTAGTCAGGAAAAGTCATGGATTTGAAAATGTAAAATGTAGCAAAAACCCTGTTTTTAAGAAAAAATGGGCCATTTTTTATGAAAAATGAGTAATAAATTTCTGAAAAATTTTGCTATGTAATGCTAGACCATGTTAATTGGTCAAAAAATAAGTTTTTTAGAGTGGCACCCATGTATATGTATCCTTAAGCTTTGGATTTTTTTTATAATTCTGACCTCAATGATATTAAAGATTTGCCCAATGAAGTTATGTGAATGTAAAATGTGCAGGTAAATTAATAATTGTTGTTCAAAATAATAAAAAGGAATAAAGTGATATGAATTTATAACTTTTCATTAGCTGTATGTTAAATCATTTGCTATTTAAGATAATCTTCCAACTAATTTAGCTTTTAGTTGATTTGAATTTTAAAAAATTTAGTTTTTGTATATAAATGTTGAAGAAATATTTGTTCTGCAAAGAGTAATTTCTAAATAATTGATTTTTTTTTTTTAAAATTCAAATCACTTCATTCTTTCTTTGATATCTGAAACATTGGGTCTTAATCTTTACATAGTTATGAGAGTATTGAGTTGAAAAACAACAGCTATGATTTTATTTCTTCTGTGATTAGTTTAATAATTATTTAATTTAATAAATTAATATAAATTTAAACTACATTTAGTTTCAAGGATAATCTTTAACTCTTTAACTGTCATACATTTCAGAAAAATGGACCAAAAATGGAAATTTTTTTTGACTGTTTAATCTTGTTCTTTTTAATATTATAAAAGTTAGAAAAAGGCTATTTCAAAAATAAAATTTTAACTACTGTATTTATGATTTTTATATACACATAAAAAAGTAATGGATTACACACGCATCTTATGCAATTAGAGCAAATTAAACAAAATTTTGAAGCTAAATATAATATTACTGGTATAATATAGCATAAAAACACAACAATATGATTTTTAATACATAAATTTTACTACTGTTTGGTTGTATCCCAAAACCCTCACCCACATAATCATAACCACCAAGTAATCCGTGAAAAACTAGGACCACTAATGGCATCTATTAGGAATTAGTAAATTGAGTATCCTAATGTAGAAACGAATTCAGCTCTGGTTTCACAAAATAGAAACATTAATTTTTACAATAATTACTTCTGTCCGACTGTGTTGAGGTTTTAGACAAATTTAGATTTATGAAGATAATGCTACAGATTCATTTGGTTAATTCTACCTCCAGGCTTGATTGTTATATTTTAAAATTTTTAACTGTAATTTAATTAGCAAATAATTTTCAATGACTATTTTTTATCATTGTACAGTAGGGAACCGATTATCCGGAACGATCGGAACCATCACTATTCCGGATAACTGATTTTTCCGGTTTTCTGAATCGCTACAAAAAGCCATTTTTTTATTGTTAAACCCAACTAAAAAAAAAATTTTTTTAGGAAATAATCTTGAAAAGAAGAAAAAACGATGAAGTAATACACTAATGATTATTTCCAAAATGATGGTAAGGTGAACATCTTTCAAAAAAGAAAGAAAAATCTTATAAGGAGAAAAAAAAAAATTTAAAAAATGGCGGGAAAATTTATCGAATTTCGTTCCGGTTTTTTGGTTTTCCGGTTTTCTGATTTCCGGATAACGGGTTCTGTACTGTATAATTATAAAAATAATTTGATTGTAATTGACTAAACTTATTATTAAAGCCATTATCTTGCGAAATAAATATTTGAGATGTAAGGAATAGTGATTTGGTGGCATACTGAATATTCAGCCAAACAAATTGGCTGAGTACCGAATATTCGGTGGCTGAATTAGCAGAAAACTTTTTAAAAATATGATTGATAAATATTTTTTATTTATAAATATGTTTAGTCGTTATTTAAAAATAATCAGTACTTAGCTATATCATTGGTATGGGGTAAAGGGTAAAAAAAACTAAGCCAAAGTTTAAAGAGAGAAATAATTGTAACGAAATTCTTAAAACAAAACTTTAATGCTAAAAACAATATTTTACTGAAAAGAAGTACATATAAAAGGTTAAAAGAGATATAGTCTATCGGAAATTCTTAGAAATTAAAAATCTATCTTAATTTTTGAAAGAAAAGTTTAAAATCGAGCATCTCAGTTTTCCAATTATTGTATTTTTAAGAAAAAGTGAGGAATAAAGTCTAAAAAAAAAACCCTCTTAATTTTCGTGTTAGACAAAAACATGGAGTAAAACCAAATTTTTTTTCCTTCCTTTTTTAAGAAAAAAAAGACAGAGTTAAAAAGAAACCAAAACAAAAGTTGTTATATTTTTTAACAAAAATTTTAACGCTAAAAATCTCAGATTAACTTTTTCAAATTGTGCCACTTTTAGAAAAAAACAAACCATAAAAAACTAACTTTCATAAGAAATGCTTTTCAAAAATGCTGGTATAATAAAAACTGTGATAAAAAGAAAAGTTAGCAAAAAAATTCTTGACATTTCGCTTTCCTATTTGTCTTTCAGGTCTTAAATTTGCAAGTTTTAGAACTTAACAAATATGTGTAAAAACTATTTTATATAATGTATATTAAAAAATACGATTTTAGAATACTCTTTATTAAATCAATTAAAATTTCGAAAAAAAAAAACATTCTTAAAAATACCTAGGCGAACATTTGGCAAGAGAGCCGAATTGACTGAATAGTGAGTGAATATTTATTACATTTCTAATAAATATTAATAAGGTTTAATCAATAAAAATAATAATTAAATCTTATTATATATCATTTTACAATGCTAATCTTATTGTATGATCTTTATGTGCATAAATTCAGGGTTGCCACTCCACAGGGAAAACCTGTAAAAATACAGGGAATTTAAAAATCACCTAAAATAGCAGGGAAAATGCAAGGAATTTTTATTTTTTCTTTACAAACTGGGAAAATACGAGGAATTTTGTTTCTTATTTTTGTCTTTCAAAAAATGGTGACCACTCAAAGGATCTATGGGATATTTAACCATGATATTTCAGCTATACTAAACTATTTCATTTATTATAGCATTTTTTAAGTATGTTCAGCTGTTTTTCCAGCAATTAAAATTGATAAGTATAATTAGCCCAATATAGCTCACTCAAGAGCACAGTAATTGTTGTTTCCTCTTAATATATTGTGTATAATATGTACAGGGAAAGCACAGGGAATTTTTTTTTCCAGATTTGAGTGGCAACCCTGAAATTACTATATGCATGATATATTGAGCTTTCTTTTTAAGCAATGATAGTCTAAGTCTGACTGTGTTGGGACAGTAGACTTTATGTAAATAGATTCGATAAATTCTGCTATCAGGATGCTTAGTTGTTTATCTTATTTCAAGTATAAATCTCTAAGAAATTATACTTGTAACCAAACTACATTTATTTTTTAGCTTAATCTAAAAGACAACCATGGCAGTTGAAGTGAGAAGGAAGGGCAGTACAGAGACTATTCGGCATCTTTGGGATGCAATTGTCTTCATTCGTCAACAGAGACAAGTTCCAAACATTGAGAGAATATCGAATAATTTAAAGAAAAAGCACAATATTAGTCCTGATGATCTAGAAGCGCAGTTGGCATTTGCTGTCAGTGACAACCTCATAGAAATAAAGAAAAGTGTCGCTTGTAAAGGCTCTAGAGCTGGCTCTGAGCAGCAAGCATATCGCATTCCAGAAAAGGAAATGGTAAGTATTGCTCTCAGGATTGCAAAACACCCACTCTGAAAATCCCACCCTAAATTGGGTTTTTCTAAAATTGATTTTTTTATTTTTTTATCCTCTGTTATATTAAAGCTATTCTATTGAAATATATATGTAGTCTAAAGCCTAAAAAAATAAACCTATGGTAAAAAAACTAACTTTGTTTGGAGACTAGAGAGTCTCCTTCTGGCTAGATTTGACTGTATGGCCATTGATCAGTGCCTTTAATTTGCTTTCTATGCACACACACAAAAAAATCCTCAAATATTTTTTAAGATTAAAAAAAAACAAACAATAAAACATGAATATTCCACAAAAACCCATCTGGTTTGGGTTTTTCTGGAAAACCCCCGGTTTTTTGCGACCCTTATTGCTTGAGTTTTTTAAGCCATGAAAATATTCTGAATAAACTAAATTAACATTAATAATTATAACGTAAATTTTTATCCTACAGGGTGGTTTAAAATGAATATAGCGATTACAAATGGCTGTAACGATTTAATGAAAAAGAATTTATCGATAATAACTTCAAAATTTTGTATGCGTGCGACACAGATTTTCTATGTGACTTCCCTTGGTCACCCAAACAACATTTAGGAGGTAGTCACACATCCTGAAGCATTTACGCTTTTCCTTTTGCACAAGCAATGCCATCGGCATATGTTGTTCCTATTTGAAGGTTCATGATTGTAACGCTGACGAAATCGTCTCTGCACTATGATAACAGAATGACAATTGTTAAATTCTTACACGCAGAATGCACCTTTTTCACTCATGAATTCGCACATGCGGAGGATTCTACTTCACTGCTCTTTGCGTAAGGAAATTTTGAAGTTCCATCTACTACATTCTATGTTAATCTTATCCATAATTTATTTTTCATTAAATAGTTATAGCTGTTTGTAATCGCTATATTCATTTTGAATTATCCTTTGTAAGTTATAAAAACATAGATGGAGATTGAAGTAATATGTGTCTTGATAAATTTTCAACTGAATATCAGAGTGGCCATTTTCTTTAAAACAGAGAAGACCTGGAGTTCTCAGGGAATTTGAAAACATTACTGGAAAACCCAGAATATCATAACATATTAGTGATTAATAAAATGGGCACAACTGTAGTGTATTTTTATTCACTATTAAGCTTAAAAATGGTTTTAGATAATCAATCTTCATCAGTACTATTTTTAGAAATAATTTTCTACTTCCACTTTCAATAAGGAAAGCATTTTTTAAATTTAAGTGAACTTAGTCTTTAGTCTTATTTATGTTTTCCACAACTCTGCTCTTTTCCTGCTAACGGGAAACATTCATGCGATTTAAAAAATTCATTTTGCTTTTCCTGTTCATGTGAATTACAAAACCAATATCTCAATTTGCATTTATTATTGTTTTACATTAATTGTATTGACCTAACTTAAATCATGTCATTGCAGGAAAAAGATGGCCATGATTGGTATTGCTTTGGTTGTCACAAGGAAGGTGAAGTCTTGCACTGCTCTTCCTGTCATAGAGTTTATCATAAAGATTGCTTGAAAGATGGTGAAAAAATTACAGAGGATGATAAGCTTATATGTGATATTTGCAAGGTACACTTGTAGTGTTATTCTTTCATGTTAAGAGTAATTTATCATACTAAAAATTTTATGTTGAGTATTCTTTTGCTTTCATTAAATGCAGAATTGTCTTTTTTTTAATGTGTTTTAATTATATAAGAAAAAGATAAAAGGCGTGATAAATAGCAAAAGAAAGTTTAATCTGTTTAAATAATGAAAGGATATTTTTTTCATTATCGTGTGATATAATATTCTTTAATGACTTTTCTACCCTTTTTCATTGACAGTTTGTTTCAACCTATTTTCAGATACGGCTAACTTTGTTTTGTATTGAGGCTGTAAAGTAAAATTAATTATTGACGAAAAGAAATTCCTTGAAGAGTAAGCTCGTGTTTGATTTGGTTTCTTTGCTAAAGATAGGCAATAGAAAGGAGGGTATTGTATTTCGTCGTTGGCTAATTCACACCAAATCACAATCTAGCGGGAAAGGGACTGTCAAAAATAATATAATTAAACTCCTAAAAGTAATATTTTTTAAAAAAAAGTTTAACAATAAATTTTTTAAAAAAAACGTGATTATGTTTGAAGGATAAGATTTATCTGAATAGAAATTTTAATAAGCAAATCAAACACCAAAAATTAAAGAAAGAATGAGCAACAATGAAAGAGCTCTTTATTATAACAATTTAAAAGCTGAATCATTATTAAGGTACTTTTAACACAAAAAGTGGCCGGTGGAAAGAAAAAAGTAGCGTTAATGAATTTACCACTAGTAGACACCAGATAAATTTCTCAGTCTTGCTCTTTAACAGCAACTAAATATTTTTTAAAATACTGAAAAGAAAATATTTACTCCTTGTAGTAAAGAAATACATATGCTGTAAATTTCAATTTTCTTTGTAGTTGCTGATGTCCAAAGACACTCTCAAAATCGAAAATGAAGATTTGAATTTATTATTGGGCTATGCTTGTCTTCGCTTGAAAGAAAAAATTGGCAATGTTAGTATAAATTCATTAATAATTAATTGCATTGTTCTGATGATTCTGATATAATAACTAGTGTAATGTTGTGTATAGGAATCTGAAATACTAAAACTAATGCCAAATGAAGAAAAGTGGAGGCATAATTTTCTTATCTATGAGGAAATGGACCTGACCATTATGGAAGATAAGACGGACAATAATTTATATAATCGCATTGAAGAGTTTCAAGTGGACGCCCAGACAATGGTTCATAATATTGTCTTGTTCTGTGGAGGTATTCTAATTTCAGTTTGTTGTCATTTATTTCAGTTAACGAAAGTTTATGGATTTGATTATGTATTTAAGATAATTTGATTTAGAAGCTCTAACTTTTGATTTATTTCCTTTTTCTTTTTAAGTATTATTGTTTACAAATTAAATGTAAAAAAGCAAAATTTGTTAATTTTTTTTTTATCTATCCTATGTTAACTATCAAATTTCACTATATGTATGTTTGTGTAAGCCAAATTCTTTTAATAAAAGTTTAAAAAAATTTATCTTAGTAAGTATCTAAACCAAGGAGGCACTATAGGGCCAAAGGTGACCCCCCAAAGTCTTTTAGCTGAACTGTCTAAAATGCAGTGGAACCCTGATTTTACGTTGTCCGTTTTGTACATCATCCTGTTTTCTACGTTAGTTTCTGCCAGTCCATGAAAATTGCTTATACCGATAATGCTAAATTATCCCGAACTATTTGTTACCCTTTTAAATAAATTCCGCTTTATAATTATTTTTTTTTACATATCGAAATGATTTTTTTTTTACAAAGGTAAGGCACAAAACTTTTTTTAAAAAACAATTATTTTTTTTCTTCTTCTACTCCTTTTTTTATACTGTTTGTACCTTTTCAGACATTTTTTTTGTTTAATCATTTTCCTTTTGTCTGTGAGGGGAGACTTCCCTTTTAAGTTAAAATCAGAAGGGTGGTGTAATAGGCAAAACACAGGATAGGAAAAAATTCCTATCCTGTGTTTTGCCCATTACACCACCCCTTCACCAACTTCAACCTTTGACCCATGAAATTATCCAGTCATTTAAAGAACGTTGCACTAACCAACTGGTTAGGAAATACTATTTTTTTCTTGATTTTGAGGACCAGTAAGATATTTTTAAAGTAAAAACAAATGTTTTGGAATCTCTAAATGTGATTTCTACAGAATTGGACAGCGTTGACCAAATTGCAGCACAATAGGTTATATAAAGCTTCTCAGGATTAATTGCTTCTCTGTATGCAGCTTGAACATCAGTCTTTCAGAATAAAATGCCATGCCTGAAGATATTCTAACGTTGATGATGCTTAAATCGACTTGTAAATATTATAAGTTTTTTTTTCTTTCTAGTAGTTCATCTCCTAAGTGTTAATTTTCAAAAGTTATACTTACATTTTTTTACCCTGATTGTACGTTATTCCGCTTCCAGCAGTTTTTCAACTGTAGTTCTCAGAAAAGCGTAATATCAAGGCTCCTCTGAATTAATAAAAATATAAAAGGAAAAAACTTCCGGTTTTATTTTTCATCCTTTCTCAAAGCATCAGAAAGTGACCTTAATGATCGTTCTGCGTATGCAATGTGTTCAGAGTTTTCAATGAACTGTAATTACTTGAGAATTTGAACTAATAAACTAAAGTAGCAGAAACAAAAATTTTACAAGTCAATAAGAAAATTAAAAAAATAAATTCTTTCAACAGTTCTCTCTTACTACTGTTAAAGTGAATTTATCAAAATGTATCATATATTATGTAGTAACTGAATTGGGTCCTCAGTTTTTAAATTGCTCTTTTGTACTATTTTATGTGTGTATTTCACAAAGTAATTCCCTCTCATTATCAAAATAACAGAAAAATTTTAAGTTCTTGAAAAATAATTAAAGGCAGACTAAAAGACAATCTCTGTGTCTCTAATTTTCTTCAACAAACAAAGTAAACTTTAAAAAAAAGGTTTTATTGATAAACGAGTTGAAAACTTTTTTTTTATACTTAAAACTGAAAATGAGATGTAATTTAAAGGTGCATTTTTAAGCATAATGGTAAAATGTAAAGGTAATTATGATGGTAAGGTTTAATATCACTTAAAAAAGATGTGAATATATATCTCTGGCGATGAATATCATGCGAATTTTAATTATATGACTAGACAACAGTAGAAAAATCTTACTAAAAATAAAGGAATTAAATTAAGAATTAATATAATTATCAATTACTAACTAAATCAGAAGTGGACTTATGATTAAAAAAAGGTGGTTATAAAAAAAAATCTTTCCCAGAGAAATAAAATAGAGTAGTGTTTTTAAAAATGTTATTTGTACAAAGAGGGCGAGGAAAATGCATTTATAGGAATGAAAGGGACGTATATATATATATATATTAACTTAAGATATATTGTTATATTCTAACATATACCACTCTTTTTCTTAGATGGTAACATCAAGTATGTATTATGATTATAGTATTTTTCTCTGATAAAACATATTGAACAGGGTTGCAACTCCACAGGGAAAACTTGGAAAATACAGGAAATTTAAAAATTACCTAAAATAACTGGGAAAAAGCAGGGAATTTTGAGTTTTTCCTCACAAACTGGGAGAATACAGTCAATTTTATTTCTTATTTTTGTCTTTTAAAAAGTGGTGACCACTCAAAGTGCATTCTATGGGATATTTAAGCATGATATTTTTGCTATATTATACTATTTCATTTACTATAGCATTATTTGCTTTAAGTAGGTTAAGGGTTCCTTATTTTTTTAAGTTTTTCCAGCATTTAAAACTAGTATAGTTAGTCTAATATAGCTCAGACAAGAGCGCAGTAATTGTGTGTTTCCTCTTATTGTGTATAAAATACGTACTGGCAAAACACAGGGAATTTTGAGTGGCAATCTTGTTGAAACAATTCAGTTTTTATTTTTGTACTATTATGTATTATAAAATGAGTCGCACAACACAGCAAGATTATTTAAGTGTAGAAGAACTGAAAAGTAATTCTTAGGCAAATAATTTTATGTTTGCATTGAAATGTTTCTGAGAACTAAACAAAGAAAGTCAATGTAAGGAAAAACAAAGTAAATCCCTAAATCATTTTATATTTATAACTTCATAAAACTTATAAATTTAAAGAATTATTTGCTGATGCTTATAATAATCAATATACTTTTTTTTCTTCTAATTAATGGACTTTTAAAAGTGATTCATTACTTCAAACCTACGTGATAATGAAAGGGTTGAAGCTAGTTACAATATAAGAGTCAATAAGTTATTTGCAGAAAGTTTTCGAGATTTTGTGTTCGCCGAAAGCTTTTAATTTTATCTAAGGCTTGTACTCACTGAATCTCCATTTCAAAATGATTAAAAATATTTTTTATTGATTTGATTTAAGAACTTCTGAACTAAATAACTAATATCCATAAAAATTGAATAAGGGCCATTCACTACTTTCCAATTGTAATCTGAATTTATTTGGATTTTCTTAGTTCTTAACATATTTTTATCAGTTCAGTCTGATAAATAATATTAACACTAAACATACCAACACTTAATGTATACCTATTTACCATATCCGGTCAAATGACTGGACTTTATGTTTCGTGATTGAATGTAGGAAATGTGGATGTTTGGAAGGAAATAAACTAAAAAAACTTTATTATAGTTAAACAAAATTGTATATTTCCAATGTTTATGTATTACAAACACAAAGAATAAGAATTTTTTAATTCATTGCTCAACACATTTTTTATATATACAGGGTGTTTCCATTGTACATTTTTTGCGAACACATTTCTTCTAATTATTTTTTTTCTGTAATTCTTATAATTATTCTTATAGTTATAAGAATTAAAATTCTTATAATTAATATTATTTCTTCTAAGAACTTGTGCTGTCATGATTGTTTCGACATTTTTCTGGGTAAAAACTAACAGTTAGTTAGAAATGAAGTAAAGCTGTCAAAATGAAATATTAGCTACTTGCTAAAACATTTACTTTTTGCCACTTTTTCTGACACGAAAATGCCAATCTAAAATTTTAAATACTTTCTTGAAATTTGAATTCACAGCTATTCTGATTAAATTAACTATACAACAGTCTTTACAGAAATGTGCAACTCATCGAATGCAATATGTTGAACATGCATTACATTGTCATTTCTGATCCAATAGCCTTATAAAGCAATAAATTGTCCTCCCGGTCAAGTGACCGGTTGTGGAAGAAATAGGTATACGACAAGTATTATTCGAAACAAACAACATGCAAAAAATAATAATGGAATATTAACTGTATATAATTGTTAGAAAAAGTCATGAAGTCAAACGTGCAAAAACGATAAGATGATAAGCGCACTTTTTATGCAAAAGTTCTTAAACGGTCATTTGACCGGTTATGGTATGTTTAGTGTTAATCTTTTCTTTTTTTGCATACATGTATAAATTGTTTTTAAATCTGAAAAATACACCCAAAAGCTTTTTTTTTTTTAAGTAAAATGTAACTAACTTTAATTTTAAAATTAGAATGAATAATTTCATCTAAAATATATTTAAAACTGTGCATAAAATGATTTTCTTTCGGCTTATAAAATTATGAATGAAATTCTTAAAAACAAGTTATTCTATTATATTTATGTAATGTACTCTAAGTTTTCTTTTCTTCATTTTGTAAAAAAAAAAAATTCTTTATGTGTATATATATGACAAAATAGCAATTGTAGATGGGGGATAATTTTGCACAGATCCTAAATATAATTTTCTTAAAAGTATTTTTGGTGTGCTTAAAATGTTTTTAATTTTTATTGAAAAATTAGGTAGTTCACTAACTAGATTAGTGTCATATAAACTTCATATAAGTAATTTGGTGATGGTGAATTGCAATAAATTGTATTTATTATTTTTATTTTTAGTTCATAGTACAACTGCTGATTTGGCAAGAAAGTTACTGCGTGATTGTTGCTATGATTTGGGAGAAATTCGTCAATGTCCAGATTGTTACAGAACTTCCAATGAGAAACGAGAAAAACATTGGTTTTGCAAACCCTGCGTATGTATGAATATTAACTTCAAGATATATATATATAGTTAAGTTTATATTAAAGAACAAGATATATATATAGTTAAGCTTATGTTACAGAACTTCCAATGAAAAACGAGAAAAACATTGGTTATGCAGACGTTGCATATGGATGAATATTAACTTCAAGATATATATAGTTACGTTGATATTAAAGAACACCCAATCAATTTTCACATCAAAATTTCTGTTTGATATAAATAAGAGTATCTTTTGGAGCAAAAATTACAGAATGGAAAAATAGTAAATATTTCATAGTAAATATTTCATCTTCTTCAAATAGTAAAAATAGTAAATATTTCATCTTCTACAATTTTAAAAATTGCAATTGGCAAGCATTTTTTCCACTATGAAAGATCCTGCCATCTCTGATTTAAATTTTGTTTTCGAGTAACATAATATTTTATAGAGTAAAATAATACTTAGTTATTTCAGTTATAGTATTATGGTAAAATAAATATGTGTTTCACCGTAATTGACGCACGGTGGCTGAGCAGTAGCGCTTCGCGCTGTCGTGCCACAAGCCCCTGGTTCTACCCTCGGGCCGGGCAAGATTGACTCAGCCTTTCATCCCTTCAGTGGGTCGATAAATGAGTACCAAGCATGCTTGGGATTAAACACTGGGGGTTCCGCGCTCGGCTGACCACCTGATCAGAACATCTGCTCCTGCACCCCAGAGCCCAAGGTCAAAAAAACTGAGATGGGCACAGTAGGCCTTGGCCCTCTAGAGCTGTCACGCCACTGAGTTTAGTTTAGTTTACCATAATTAGTTTTTTTCTTTCATTTTCTTAATCTATTTGTCTTGATTTCTTTGTCTTTCTCATTAAGAAATAATGATTCTTACAGAACCCACCTCATGATCTTGTCTATGCAAAACAAAAGAGTTTTCCTTATTGGCCTGCTAAAGTAATGCGTGTAATTAACGGAAAATATGATGTCAGGTTCTTTGGCGGAGCTCATGAAAGGTAATTTAAAAATTCTGTTGACTTTATTTATGTCATGTTTTTTTTTTGTTCGAAACAAAATATTTATAATTAAATTTCATAACACAATTGCAATAGCTTGCGACTGTTTGGCAAACCACTTAGTAGGTTTACTAGAAATCAGGGTAGTAGAATGTTTGTCTTGGTTGAGACCATGGTTTTGTAGGAGTTGGAGGCTCTGAGTTAATGCCTAGTTTCTTTTGTTTTGAATAAATTTAAGTTTATTGTTATTGAAATCTATTGTGGTTATTTATATCAAAGAATGGCATTACAGCAATGTACTATTTTTTTTCTAAAAAGTATTACCCATTGGCAAAATGGGTCATGGTTTGGATTTGATGGCGTCCACACACTTTTCAATTGTGTTCAAGAGTAATAGTAAAGAGTGCGCATCATTGCATGTGTTGCTATGGCGGCCACTGCTGTTTTTATTTTTACTAGCAGCCTTTTTTAATGTATTTACATAATAATAAGTTAAAGTATTTTTATATACTTTTTATTATTTGCGTATAATTACTGGCTTGACGGTGATTTTAATATAAGTATGAATGCTGAAAAAGGAAAAGTATTTTGTTACCTCTTACAACACGTACATAGCCAGGATATGAAAACTAATCTGACGACAAACATCAATTGAGACAGTTTTTGCAACCCATGATTTGAAATGGTGTGCCGTTTAACGGAGTCAATCCAGAAGGAAAAATCATTTGACCAGTGCGTAACCAGTGATCATAATAAGGCGATCACAACTTTTTTGTTGATTTTTTTAAAAATAGTTTCTTGGTTTGGAACATTATTTTATTATATAAAATTTTAATCCTTCGGAATGAATGACAAAAATGGTTTCGAGTCAGCTGAAATTTAAATACATAAATAAATAAAATCAGAGCAAATTATTCTAGCAGTTTTTAATAAAATGTAAACATTCAAAAAGATGTGAGAGATATATTAAAAATTGACAAAAAATAAGAACAATTCATCTGTTGTTATTATTTAATTTAGACAAAGTTATAATTTTGTATCTAATTTTATAGCTTAATTCATGTGTTTTTTGTTTCAATCACTATTCACCGTTTGTTTTTGTCATAGCCTAATTTGTTTGTTGTGACTGTTATTCTATATTTTTAATTGATAAAGTCAGAAAAACAATTTTCATCAGACAGCACTTCATCAGGGGACACACTGCCCACTATCACACAGCAGCCTTTCTGTTGTAAGTATTGAAACCAAAAACTGATAGTGCCCCGTAATGGAAAATCAAATAAGAAAAAGCAATTAGAAAAATTTAAATGTAAATGCAATGAAAAAAAGTGTGTCCCCTGATGAAGTGCTTTCCTGCTAACTCACATGTCTTAAAATTTTTATAATTTTTGTTGTTTTCTGCTAAAAATGTTTTTCTGACTTTATAAATTAAAATAAGACAAATTTGGATCTAGCTGCTTTAAGCACCTTTCTATTTTGATTTATAATTTTTAATGTTACTTACTTTTTTGTCTTTTTCTGAATTTGTAAATTAGTTTCATTCTTTGTTATTCTATATATTTATTCTCTTTCTAGAGCAAATGTAGAAAAAGAACATATCAAGCCAATCAATACACCCATGCAACAGCTGCAGTTGAAAAGAAGTGCAGCACTGAATAAAGCTCTTGAAGAGTTGAAGCGCCATCAACAGTGGATGGGACTCATACCAAAGAAAGAAACAGCAGCTCATCATAAAGCGAAAAAAAAATCCCATCCTCCACCCTCTGCCAACTCTTCTCGCTCCAATTCCCGTTCTAGATCCCGAAAGAGCTCCATTTCCAGTGAAGATTTGTCAGAGAATGAGGCCGATGACAATTCATCACAAGATGAATGTCCATCATCCTCATCTCCGAAAGTTGCACGGTTTAAGGTAACATTTTTAAAAATTTCTTTTCAAAAACAAGGTTCCCACGACCCTTAAAAGTCCTTAAAAACTGCTTAATTTTTATTTTGGAAAATAAAGGCCCTTAAAAGTACTTAATTTTGGTACAAGGTTTTTAAAAGTCCTTAATATCAAAAATACTTGTGTACGTTTTCATTCGTGAATACTAAATAAGAATGCATGATTTGCTTCAAACAAAAAAGTTAAATATTTGGCAACTATAGTTTTAGATTGTTACGCTATTATTTTTATTTCTTAAGGATAAGCATTTTTATAATGTTTTTCTCATATTTCTTTACTTTAAAAAAAAAAGAAAAGAAATTATATATGAAAAAAAGTGCAAATTTTAATTTTTCCACTTAATTTTACAATTTAATTTTAATGAAATCATTAAAAATGGAATACGGATTAATTTCGTACTTGTTGTTAGTCCTATCAATCTGAAAATATTTTTTAGAAAAGCCGACCCGGGTATGCAAATCAGGGCGATTTTGGTACCGTTTTTCGGTACGTTCACAAAATTTTTTTAAAAAAATCGGTACCTTCACAAAATTAAAAAAAAAAAATCGGTACCTTCACAAAAAAAAATCAGTACTTCAACAAACTTTGAAAAAAAAAAAACGCATCTTCACGAAAATAAAAAAGAAAGTTAGAAGGAATTAAAGTGCTGAATAGTTTTCCGAGCGGTTCACGGAAAAGTGGATTCACAGTGAACGGCGTATGGTATGCCATCGGACGGCGTTCCGCGCAACCGCACTAGCTTGAAAACAGGCTTGATATGCTGACGTCACTTCTCCTAAATACGCCATTCAATCTGAGTGAGTGGTGAAGTTTTTATACTAGGCAACCGGCTAAATTGAGTCAGCGCGTAAACAACTCAACTCATTTTCCCAGACAAGTGTTTTTGTTATGATTTAGCGTAAAACGTGTTCTATTCGTATTTTTTAACAAGATTTATGAAAAGTTTTTATAATGAAGCGAGGAAGAAATTTAAGTGGAGCGGGTGGCTCACGGAATAGCGATTATTATATGAAGCGTTTNACATACTTGTGTACGCTTTTATTCGTGAATACTAAATAAGAATGCGTGATTTGCTTCAAACAAAAAAGTTAAATATTTGATAACTATAGTTTTAGATTGTTACGCTATTATTTTTATTTCTTAAGGATAAGCATTTTTATAATGTTTTTTTTTTCATATTTCTTTACTTTAAAAGAAAAAAAAAAGAAATTATATAAAAAAAAAAGTGCAAATTTTAATTTTTCCACTTAATTTTATTGAAATCATTAAAAATGGAATAGGGATTAATTTCGTATTTGTTGTTAGTCCTATCAATCTAAAAATATTTTTTAAAAAATCCGACCCAGGTTTGCAAAAATAGCCTGGTCCTACTACTTTTCCGAGCCCTGTTAATTAATACTATTATATCAGCACTTAGATTGTAAAAGAAAATTTTTTTATTAATTGATTTTCTTTTTTAGAAAGGTAAATAATTGGCATTGTCACTGGGGATATATTCAATGATAAACAATCACACTACTTTAAAGGTCCTTAATTTTTTCGAAAAAGTGTCCTTAAGTTTTGCTAAGTTAAAAGAGTGGGAACCCTGAAAAATTAAAAATCGTCGATTATACTAACACATTTAAGCTCTTTATTTTTTAGGTTTTATGATTGTAAAAGTGCATCATTAGCGTATAGTATTACTTTATTACGATTTTTAATTCAATATTTGTTATTAATTAATCGGTACTGGTTATTTTTTAGCAGAAAAGTGCTAAAAACATGTTCTATGCATATTGATGAGCTGTATACTATTATGAGTTTTTCACACAGGGTTTTTGTGCTCCTTGAAGTCATTGAGAATCATAGATTTTGCCCTTGGTTGAAATTCATCATTGAAATTTTATTTTTTATAATTTATTAATATATTTCATAATTTGAGTTAATAGGCATTTCCAAGCCTCTTGTTTTATGCCCACTCTCTAACCAGTAATTCCTAATCTTAATGTACATTTAAAATGAAGTTTAACATGTTGTTTGATGCAGTGTTTAATACTACTATGGACAGGGTTTTCGATCGTTGTTTTTTTTTTTCTTGTTTAAATAAATAAATAAAATGCATACTCCAATTGGTTTATTTATTTATTTGCTTTTCTTGATCATAATCAAGGTATGTTCTTTCATGTTATATTTTAACTGTATAAAAGTTGGTGTTGAATACTGAAAAAGCTGATTACAGATTTAATATATTCTCAGGTATATTGGTTACGGAATTGAAGTGAAATTCTAAAGAAATTTTATAGCAAATCAAATAACTGTATTATTAAATATGCAGTAGATCTGTATTAAGTTGGCCAGAAAACGACTTACTGACTTTATTTTAACAAGAAAAGGAAACTATAACTTGAAATCTTAAATGATTATAAAAAATAAATAATTTATACATTTCAAAAACAACCTAAGAAACCAACTTGTTTCTCTCATCTCAGTAATACGCTTTTATCTTGTGTCATTGAAGGAAATAAATTATAAACCTTTTGAAAAGATGGTATTTACTTAATTTTGTTATTTTAATTAATAATTGAAATATTACTATAACAGTTTTATTTTAAGCTAAAGTTGTTTTCTTTTGAAATAAAAATTAAAATTTTAACCCGAAAAGTATTTCGGTAATATCTTTTAAGAAAAACCATTTAGGTAGAGTTAAACATGGTGCGTAGCCTAGATAGATGGTGCTATTGTCAGTACTGTAGTATGTTGAGTGTTTATAGTTTGAGTAATTATAAATGTTTTTTTAAAAAAGACTTCTTTAGATTAAGATTTGTATACATATCAGGGTGCGTAACGTTTTTAAAAAGTGCTTATTTTCGATTTTCGTTATTTAAAAGCCTTTCAGCGTGCTTTTTTCATGGGTTGTTTTAAAAAGTGCTTAATTCCCTTTTCAAAAATGAGATTTTTTTTCCCCGTTACCATGTCGATTTACGGCATGTATTATGCAGAAGCGTGCTTTTCTCATTGTTCTATTCAACGTTTTCACGATTAATTTCGTCGTACCGTCGGTCCATAGCGTATATCATTTTATATGTTTGATGAAATACTTGCGAGTTCGTATGTACCTCTACTGAGCTGGGTTCGGTGAGGTTATTGCCTTCTCCTGTGTAACTCTGCTGCATTTTGCAAGACATTCTCAATTTCAGGCTTCATTTTCCACTTTCTGATATTGAACCAAAAAATCTCTTGATCATTTTATAACGGCTAATATAATCAAGAAAAGAGTTCTTTGTCTGAAACTTGTTATTTTCTCATGATCATCTAGAGTCTTTGAAAATTATTTTGCATTTCGTTAATGTATATAGTGCTTAAAAGTATTATTTGAGTGCTTAAAAAGTATTTGAAAGGTGCTTATTTTTTGTTGAAAGATTTGGCTATGCACCCAGGTTAAATAGTCCAATGTTTGTTTAAACCCTGACTATAAAGAAGTTTCTTCATTTGTTGTGACTACAGAAAAAATTTTTTATAAAAAAAACCATCAACTATTGTTCTATGCTCTACAATAAGCATGCCCTACTATAATTTAACAGAAGTAATTTTTCAGATTTTAGAATAATCTCAAAAACAAAAAAGCATAAACAGGTGTTGTTGTTTTTTTGTTGAAAAATTGTTTTATTTTGTTTTTTAATAGGATGCTCCAACTCCAGAAGATCATAATGTTGTATCTTCTTCCTGTCAAGAGTCCTCCCCCTGTGCTAAAGTAACAGTATCAACACAAACTCATAAAAAGGTAAGACTATATATCAAAATACAGTAACACTTGATAATTTGACCGTTCATCGTGCATTGCTTTAGTGGTTAACTCATATTAGGAGATGAGCCAGTGTTTTTATTTTATCATTTTTTATATCGTGCTTTTATGACTATCTCCTGTTTACCTGTATGTTGTCAAATTTCTCCGTATTTGTTGAATAATTTCTCTGTTTACAAATTCTTTTTAAAAAAATTCTTTCAACGATTAAATAGCCTCTGACAGCAAAAATACTTCTCTTATTCCTCAACAGATGGTGCTTTTGCCAGTACTGCAGTATGTTAAGTGTTAAAAGTTTTAAGTAATCCTCGAAGGCAATTTTCTCCCAATATTTGATACAGAAATTTCCTTGTCTTCTGGATTGGGTTCAAAATTACAAGGCTCCGTAGTTGAACATTAGTAGTTGTAAACCCAAATATTGGGTCAGTTGTTGTTATAAAATAAAATATTGTAAGTAATTATAAATAAGGGTTTAAAAATATCTTCTGTAGATTAAGATTGATATACATATTTTTTACTTCGCTAAATGTAAGTGCTTCTATTATTTCCAATTTTGAATTTTTCACTTACATGATTATGCATGATGTATCAAAACTTCACTCCTAGCCTAAAAAATTTCATTAGTAAAATATCCGTTGTTTTATTTCTTGCATGTTGGCAGGTTTGTATTTTTATATTGTGTTAGTTAAAAAAATTTTATTTTATTTTGCAGTTATATGTTAAAGCATTAAAAATTTATTTTATTTTGCAGTTATATGTTAAAGCATTAAAAATAGCTAACACTAGAAGTGATCATTTGTAAAAATCTGTAAGTTGCCAGGCATTATTTTAAAGTGTTATGTATAATTTTTCAGTTACTAGCATCTCTACTTCCACCTAAACCTCCAAAAGAACCAGAAAAAGAAATGATACCCTGTGACTGTGAACAAAAGTACAGTAAAATGTTCAAAGAATTTAAGGAGCGTCTGGAAGCAGAGCAAAAAGAGGAGAAAGAAAGATCTCTCAGAGAATTAGCAGAAAGGGTAACACATGTCAATTTGTTTCTTTTATAGCTGCAAAACCTTTCAAATTCTTCAAACAACAATGTCCACTCCTTGAAAAATACTTAAATTTGATTTCAGTATTTAATGACACCTAGAACCATTTTAAATCCTTGGAAAATTGCTAATTTTCAATCGAAAACAAAAAGTTTATATTGAATTTTTTAAAATTTATTCGTAGTTCATGTGCCAACTGCTTATAGTGTTAAAACCATGATGCATGAAACCAGTGATGCTTGTATATTTCTTTTAATTTTTTTTTCCTGAATTTTAAGAGTTTAATATTATATGTTAACTCTAATGATACTTATAATAATGATTAAATAACTAAGTATGTTAAAACACTAACATCTTTATTGACAAACTATGCATCGATTCACAAACTGGGAGTTTACTTGCTTAAAACACAATAAAAAATAATGATGCTCCTGATGTTACATGACATCCCCCTTCCCTGTGGCAGAACTTATGCAATCAGGGTTCTTGCTGTAAGTTTTCCTTTCTACGCAGATTTACACATAAAATTTGATTCAAACATTTAGACAATCACTTTTTGGTGCCCTCAATTTACTGCGATAGTATCGTACATTGATATAATGTTTTGATTGTATTTTTGGCAGTTATTGATATTGATTTTCACATGGTTTTTAAATATCCCGATATATTTCAAACAGTATGGGAAATTTGAAATTGTGCATTTGAATATTTAGTTTTAAAGGCCATGATTCTATCAACTTTTTGGTTATTGTTGTTGATTTTCCCATAGATTTTAAATTCAATATTTTTTGTGCACTATTATTTATTACAACTCGGTCTCGAAACAAAACACACATTTAAGTACTCCCTTTTTCAGGAGTGTGAATCGGGTGATTTTGTCATCAATCTCTTTTTTTCAGCAATTACTGCTACGGATTTCGTGATTTTTACATTTTTGTTTTGTTTTTTTGTTGTGATGATTGTTAACAAAATGCGACGAAGAAAATAATTAGTTTGTTTCTCCTCCCAACAAAATGCGAGAATATCAACCATAATATTAGAATAAAAAAATTATTACATGTTTAATTAAAAAATATATACAAAAAGTTTTTTTTTTTTTTGTAAGCACAGCGTTTTTGTTATTTTAAAATAGTAACATGTATGTTTGATATCATTAAAAGTATTGAGCAGAAAGATATTAGTGAAGACAGTTTTGTCGCAGATAGCCCGAAAAAATTCTGCCACAGGGCTCACCTTTAAGAAAGTAAGTGCTAAAATACTAGCATTATTAAAAAAATAATGTAAAGAGAAAATTTTTGCATCAATCAAATAGGTGCAATCAAACTGAAGTTAATCGATTGCAAATATATTCCTTTTTAATACTTTAAAACTGTGTCATACTTTCATATAGAAAATAGGCTAGGTGTTTTTTACTTTCAAAATGCCAGGTTTAAAACACTGAAGTTTTTTTCTGGTCCTTCAAAAACTGTTTTTATGTTTGACTATGACCTAAAATCTATTGACTTCAAAGAAGAAAAATTTTTTTTTTTTAAAAATGAAGAATTTTTGCATCAGATTATTTTAATGAATCTTTTTGTGCAGCTGAGGCAAGATTTTGAAGAAGAGAAACAAAAAGTTCTTGCAGCAGCGGTTGAGAAAATTCAGTTTGAACTGAGTGAAGCAAAGAGGCAATCAGATGAAAAAATCAAATCAGCCCACGATGGAGAGATCACAGAAATCATGGAACGTCACAAGCAGGAGGTCTCAGAAATAAAAAAGAAACAATGGGTAACTCATTATCATTGTTTATAAAACATTTAAAATGATTGCTAATGCATGATAATATTAATAATTTTTGCCATTTCTACCAATAGATAAAGGTTTTCAATCTCCTCTTTTCCATTCCTACTATTAGTTCCCTATATCTTGTTCAAATTTTAAATCCTTAATAAATTAAAATACTTCATCCCCTCAAGTTCAAATAAATTTTTTTAAACTTGAAGTTGTTTGCAATTGATGCCAATATAATTTTTTCAAATATTAAATCATTAATTAAATTGGGATGAGCACAAAACAAAATGGAATTTTCTGATTGTTTAAGCGTTAGTCATTGTTCCAAAATTCTACTTAAAGCAATTCAGTTTTTCACATATTTTAAAAATAACATCAGTGATAATTTCTAACTTATAGCTCTATTTGAACAAAAAAATAGTTTATTGCTAAGATTGAAATATTTAATTATTTTGTTGAATGTCAGATAAATTCAATTAAGATAAATTCAGCTGTGTCAGATAAATCCAGTTAGCAAGTGTGGTCCACGTCACCATATTTATACTTTTATAGTTGTCTGATACCGCACGCCTTTTTTTTCCTTCAATTCCTACTATTAGTTCACACTCTCCCTATATATATACTGTCAGACCTCGATATAAGGTCACCCTAAGGGACATCGCAAAAGTGACCTTATAAGCGGGGCGACCTTTTAACCGATTCATTAGCAGTTCATAACTAAGCACGTAATAGTACACATTAAGATTTTTTTTGAAATGGTAAGACAAACGAAAACGATCGGCCGTAAATTAAATATTTAAGTCAATAAATTTTAACAGAATTAGTAGAAAATTAAAGAAAGTTAGATTTTAATTTTTTTTTTATTTAAAATAAAGCTGTTTACAAATTTCCTCAAAGTGTACATACATACATTACACCTTTCCTTATTCAGAATAATCATTTATGAAGGTCTGTCTCGTTTTTTGTTTCATTTTTCGAACAATGTTTTCTAGATTTTGTAACTTCTCAAAATGTTCCTCAGCTCCCTCATGGTTTGTAAAAAAAATTCGTATGGCATTTATTACATTGAAGGCTTTCCGTTGGGTTACAGCTACAGTCTCAGGATCACTGTCAACAACTTGTGAAACGATTTCAGAAATCGTAGCTTCAGAAGTAGTGGCAATTTCCTTATCAATCAAACCATATTCAGCTTCCTCTTCATTTGCATGGCCGCAATTTTTCAAATCTTCCATCAGAACAGATAAAGGAATATTGTCTTCTTCGGTTTCGTCATCCACAGTATTCAGAGAACTCACAAAACCAGCATGACGAAAACAATTTGCTATGCATGTGGTAGACACCATGCTACGCCTCAGATAAAAATGACCTTATAAGCGGTAACGATTTTTAAATCTTGACCATATATCCTATAATTTGTATCAAAGAATTCCTATTCAGTGAGCCGGGACTTTGGAAAAGTGACCTTATATCGAGGTCTGATATTTCAAATACACGATTTGTGACCAATTTAAGCATACTTAAACTCGTGAATTTGCTGATTTAAAGTCAAATCAAGTTGGCTAAAGAAAATATTAATTCTTTTTTTGTACTGCTTGTCCTGCAAGTTGGTATTAAACTTTCTGTGAAAAAGATGAATTGTTTAAAACTCTGTCCCTAAAGACAAATGTTCTATTTTCACGATATTTTTAGCTTTAATAAATTATCATTAAGTTTTTGTCAAGAAATTGCTTTGTTGATTCAAAATGTATGTTTTTGTTCTTAATTTCATGGAAATCATTTGAATCCTATAATTTCATGGACATCAATTGAATGCAACATGTATTTTTAAGACTGTTTATTTTAGAATTTAATTTAAAACAATGGCCTGACTGGAGGTGCAATTTCATTTTTAATTGCTGTCAATTAAATATCAGAGTATAGTAACGTTTTCCTAAAAGAATAAAGTCGTACTAANTATTTTAAAAATAACATCAGTGATAATTTCTAACTTATGGCTCTATTTGAACAAAAAATTAGTTTATTGCTAAAATTGAAATATTTAATTATTTTATTGAATGTCAGATAAATTCAATTAAGATAAATTCAGCTGTGTCAGATAAATCCAGTTAGGAATATTGTGTGGTAGCACGTGTGGTCCACGTCACCATATTTATACTTTTATAGTTGTCTGGTACCGCACGCCTTTTTTTTCCAATTCCTACTATTAGTTCACACTCTCCCTATATATATATCTTGTTCAAATTTTCAATTGTTAATAAAATACTTATTATTCATCCATTCAAGTTCAAATACATTTTTTAAATCTTGTAGTGAATGTCACTTGATGTTAATACAGTGTTTTCAAATTTAATTTCTTCATTAATTAAATTTAATTAATAATTTCAGATTTATATGGAAGAAAAATTTTAATTATTTAATAGAAAGTAACTAGAATAAAATTGTTGACCTAAGTACGATTTGAATTCAAAAATATTTTATTATATTACTTGTTAATCATATGTTTCTTAAACAATTTTTTTGTTTTGTTTTTAATATTTTGCAGAAAAAAAATAAAAATAGTAATTGGTGCGGTGCACCACAGCCATACACGGTGGTCTTTCTTCTGAGTAGCACCACGTGGCTGTACAGAAGCTGGCTTTTTTGAAGCAGTACCTTCCCTTGACCACTGCAGCCAACTATCATGCACAGTGGATAAATTTCTCCCCAATCTTTTTACAATATCGCAGGAAGAAAATCTACCTTCACTCAGTCTTATTACGCAACCACAGTCAAAGATAATGGCTTTTCCGTCTCCTTAAAGGCATTATTGACTAACAGCAACTCAACGTGTCAAAATTTAACAAAAAATAATGTTTATAAACTGTGTAGAACTCTTTATTTAAAACAACCCTCGTTTGCATGTTCACAGTGACACTACTAGCACTAAGTGCGAAGTTAAATAGACGTCATATTTTAGTTGTATAAACAGGCCTGACAAATTTAATTATTCTATCACAGCTGCTTCATTGTGTTGGAAATTCCCCCCCCCTTCAGTATAGACTAATAATAAGCTAAATTATAGTAATAGACTAAAAGAAGCTAAATGTGGATTAAAGTGATATGAAACTTTTTAACTTTCCTTCAGCTAAATGTAAAATAATTTGTTATTTGACAAATATATTTCAATTACACCAATTTAGTTCTTTTGAGGAGAAAAAATACTTTTAAACATGTGATTTGTATGTACATAAATAGTAAATAAAGACTTGTTCTGTAAAAAATGTCATGCACATACACAAAAAATGTCATACACATACAATTTTTTTTTATCATTCATTTTATTTTTTTCATGGGTTAGTTAGTAATTATTATACAGTAGGGAACCGATTATCCGGAACGATCGGGACCTTCACTATTCCGGATAACTGATTTTTCCGGTTTTCTGAATCGCTACAAAAAGCCGTTTTTTCAGTGTTAAACCCAACTAAAAAAATAGAAAAATGTTTAGAAATAATCTTAAAAAGAAGAAAAAACGATGAAGTAATTCACTAATGATTATTTCCAAAATCATGGTAAAGTAAGCATCTTTCAAAAAAGAAAGAAAAATCCTAAAATCTTATGAGGAAAAAAACAATTTTTTAAAAAAAAATGGCGGAAAATTTATCGAATTTCGTTCCAGTTTTTTGGTTTTCCGGTTTTCTGATTTCCGGATAACGGGTTCTGTACTGTACTAATTTTAACCATTTTAGTTAATATTATTAAGCATCATTAATGCAGTCAAACCCCACTATAGGGAACCTTCAAGGGACCAAAATTTCGGTTCACTATATCCGTACTGCAAACAATTTTAACTAATTTTTCCAAACTGCTTCTTTTATCGCACATTATTTAAATAAATGACCAATAAAAAGAAACACAAAAATGAGTAGAAAACAATATGTAGTAACAAAAAATGTGTTAACTTTTATTTTTTATTACTTTTTGTCTTGCGTACAAAACAATTTAGGGATGGAAAATGGAGATAGAAGAAGCAAACAAGAAAAAAGTACTACTACTACATTCCTCTCAATAGATGGTTTTAAAAATCGGTGTATGTATTTTATGCAAAAATTTCAAAATTGCCAAAAAACGAAGAAAAATTAGTCGAAGACCAAAAAAGTTCAGAATATCCAATTTCCTCTCTTCTTTTGATTTACTATATCCACAAAAAATAATATTATATGTGTATAGTAAGGTACGGGAGTGAACATTTCATTCACTATAACAGGGTTTGACTGTATATTTTATTACAATTTTGATTGGTATGAGGGAAAAAAAATCTGAATTAAATCAAATAACTGAGAGTTCATTTATTTTTTTAATCCTTATTGCGATTAATTTTTTTTTACTTGTTTTGCTTCGTTCTTGTATTTTCCGTTATTTATTTTGACACTAAATTATTTTCATTATAGTGCTACAACTGTGAGCTGGAAGCCATCTACCATTGTTGCTGGAATACCTCTTATTGCAGTGTCGATTGTCAACAAGTCCATTGGCACAAAGAACACAAACGTACCTGTAGGAGAAAGCGGTAATGCCTTCCTTCCACGTTTTATGTGCTCTTGTGCGGTTCAAGGGAAACAATTCACTTTTTGCCAAAGTATGTTTTCATCATACGACTCACAAACTGATAACTACCTGTGTGAGTTGTGTTATTTAAGTAGACATTTGGGTGATCTGTTAGACCTCACTTTCATGTGATCTGCTAGACCTCACTTTCATGCAATTTGAGTGGTTTGTTAGAGCTCACTTTCATCTGCAGAACTCTCTATAAAGGAGCTTCTCGTCTCTCTCCATACTGCTAGTATTGTTTTCAGTATTATGGACACTGTTGAAGAAATGTTGGGAGAGCTCCACTTTGGCATTAAAATGGCATTTGTATTGTAGGATAGTGAGAAGCATAGCTCCTTTCATGTTTTATACTTTTTGTAGGTATTTATCATCTGGACGGACAAAAACTTCTAATCAAGTTACTGTAAACAAGTAACTGGTCTTTTTAAAGGTTGGAACAAGAAATTTTATGTAAAACATTGCAACTTAACTGGCTTCATTCAATATTTGTCATCCTTTTTTTTTTTAAAATACACTTAGAATTTGTGAGTTCATTTTTTTTAACCATTATTTAGGCTGAGAACTAACAGCTTTTGCTTTCCTCAATGAAATAGCTACCTGACAAATACAATTGAAGATTTGTAAGGTACAAATTGTTTGTGGTCACCTCCTTTTACACGGTGGACGCTAGAGGATGGGGGCCTTGGACAGCGAGAGGACCACCAGTAGGGTCAGCCGAAGGGGAGATAAGGAGTGATAGATTTATGAGGAATTAGAATGCAGAACACATTATCTTAACAATTTGTTCTTGTGGAATATAACATTTCTTTCAATTTGTTTTTATGGGATATCTATTTCATTGAGGTTAGTTCTCGGCCTTAAATTCCTTACTAGAAGTTAAAATGAATTTAAGTCATACATTGAACTGTTATAGTATGGTTAATCTTTAACAACTCAAACAGTGATTATTGTTGTTTAAACATGAAAAATTCATAAACTATGTTGAATATTTAAGTTTTTAGAAACATTTTAATTTAAAATAATGACAATCTTCAATTTCATAATAATGTCATTTCATTTTATAGTATGTAATATCGTTTTGTCATTTGAAATCATATTCATTTATCGTTAGTAAAAATGTTACCTCATTTCTATTAAGGAAGTGTCAGCAATTTATGTGTCTTATTGTACTACTGCGGAACTACAATTATTTGGTATAAATGAATGGAATTTTGATCAAGATAACTGGTAGTTGGATAATTCAAATATAAATAAATAAATGTTTTGCCGTAAAAGGAGAGGCATCATTGACTCATAATAAATTGTAGTAAATACAAAAATTTTATTCCTTTGCTAATAATTGATGGTAAAACAACTATTCTGTGTAATTGAATTGCTGGAAGAAAAAAATTATTTGCATTTCTAAAGATTGGAATAGATAAATAATTCATTTTTAATCAGATCAAGATATCAAAATCATTTTAACATCTTTATCATATTTTCCTGTGTATAAATCAACTTTGTAATCCTGTAAATTGTAATGAAATTTCAGGGTCGTCTTACTCACTGAATTTTTTTCTTCCAAAATCTGGTGATAAACATAAAAAAAGAGCAAATATAAGATAATTATAAACATAATTAGAGTAACAAAATTACTACACACTTATGTTAGTTCTTAATTGAAAGACTTCAAATGCACTGATTTCATCAGAAGACAAGGGTGATTGTATTCTGTGATTTTCCTATCATCCTACTGAACTAAAAACTAGGAGCATGGCATGTGATTGCAGATATCACAGACTTCTGCGAATGAAACTTATAATCCTATGAAATTTTTGAGTTCTGATATCTAAAATTTAAATTATCAAACCTTCGCTAAATCATGTTAACGAGCTGTTTACATACGCACGAGTCTTCCTATAATTGGCGAAAATACGCCAATTTGATTTGGCAGAATTTTGTCATTTTTAATATTTGGAAGTGCGCCAGAATCCGCTAACGTTGTGATTCACTTGATTTTAATATCTAAAATAGATTTTCATGTTTATTTCATTTGAAAGTTACACATTGCAATTCCTATTCACATTATTTTAAAATCCAATATTGCGATTTGTAGTCAAGATCAACATCGCGATTCGTATTCATGCGTTTGTAATATTAAACATTGATTTTGATATTTATATGTGATTTAAAGGCTATGCATTGCGATTCATATTCTCGTGATCTGAAAATGATGCAACACGATTTCTATATTCTCGTTTTTAAAATCCCACTTCATATTCATGCGATTTTAAAATCAAACTTCGTGATTCTTCTAGGAACTAAGTTTTGTTTCAAATTAGTTTCTGTAAACGTGTTATTTTCTTCGTTGGTAGGTAATTTAGATATAAATTTTAGTTCAAAAAATTATGCTAAATATGAAAAAAATGTATAGTATGTAAATTAAAGTTTCTGCACATAACATTTTCAGGTTCTCTTTGTGTTACAATCACCCGAGAAGAGTTTTTAAAAAAAGAAATCTAGTTCAGAGTGTTTCATATTATTTAATGTATAAATAATCTAAAAAGAACTTTTAGTTTGCACCGATTATTTCCGAATGTAAACTAAGAATTTATAGACAATTTTTGGAAGCTAAAGTGAGGGGGAAGGGTTAGCTTATAATCAATTCCACTGACTTTGAAAAATTCTAAGAGGACATACATAAATAATAGTTGAAAACATTAGGCTTAAATATACTATTATTTTTTTATTATTATGGAAGACCCGTGCTTTTTCTAGTTCACTGTACAACCGTTACTATTTCTAATTGTAGCATGGCTTTTTTTTTAAACGCTAGCTTATATATAAGTTTTGCATTTTGGGGAAACAATTCCCCTTATAAAAAGTGTACTCATGGATACATGTATGGTCTTTATTCGAAATATACAGTATTAAAAATTATATATTTTGTTCAGAAATTTATTTTTTAAAATGTGTTAATTCAGAGGTAGATTTATACACTGACAAATGCAATTTATTCTAAATTTCTGACAATAAAATTTTACAGCTGTTAACTTCAAAAATTGTAGCAAATAATTTCTTTACTGTGATGATCCAGCTTTTAAGACAGCGAGTTATTTGTTTATTATTTTGTTTTGAAAAAAACAATGAAAATAGTTCTGTTGGTAATGTGATATACTTAATGTGTTCAAAAATAAAATATACCTTCCATCTAAAGTAATTAGAGATTATAAAAATATGTCTTTAAAAAATATATTCTATCTTTTGAACATTTTGTTCTCCTAATTAATCCAAACCAGTGTCAGTTTTCTAAAACCAACTTTTTAATAATTATTTTCATAAACTGTTTCATGTTACTGTAACACGCTGTTTTCTTTTATATTTCAGTATTATTTAACAACTGAACTGTAATATTTTAATTTGTACTTAATTGCTAATTGAATAAATATGTATCAATAAAAAATTTTAATTTTGGCTTACTTAAAGTTGTTAAGTTGATGGCTTGGTTTATGGTGCCGAATTAACTTACTTGGTCGAAAGAATATTTATCTTAAATTTTGTTTTACAATTTAATTTATATTACCCTTTTTAAAAAAAAGATTACTCATTTCCATTATATATATAATACAATTATTCATCTAAATTTTTATTTCTATTATATTTAAAATAATATTCTTTGTTTCTAAGTTTCCAAAACAGTGCAATATTAAATATATAATTTCAAGTTTAATTTTTTTCACCCTTTTCAAATACTCTTTTATTCCGTTGTATATTTAATCCATCTGTAGCTTCACAAATATCAAAGATCATGCAATGTTTGGTTGAAAGGCTTTTAATACCTCTCCATTGCGATTGCTTTTAAGAAATTAACTTCTTGTGCACTTTATTTCAGTTTTAGAGCATTAGAATTTTATCATTCATATTTTGTTTCTGTTACCATTTCTTTAAAAGTTTCTGTTATCATTGTGCTTTTCTTCCTGCCTTCTTCAGTTTCACAAATGTTAAGGACACTGAGGTATTAGAGAGATAATTTTAAAATGTACATTTTATTGCACTTATCTCTTAATATTCATTCCACTGTGAGTTGTTGAGGCCCATGCAATATTAAAGAGATAATTCTACTATAAATTTTTTGTCAATTCATTATTATTACTACTGCTTTTGAAAGGTAAAATAGTTATGCACTTATTTCTTTCTTTTTTTTTTTTTCATCTTCAGTTTCACAAGTGTTAACCACTTCCCTGATTATCCCGAGTTAACTCGGGGGTATGCATATATTGCAAATATTTATTATCCCGTTTAAACTCGGGCATAGCAGAATTCGTCAATACGTTTTGTTTTATCACATTTTTATTCGGCTGGAAGCAAAACAAAAAATTATATTCTACTGTGTTTGGGAGTTCTGCTGTTTGTGGCACTGCGACGTGTTTCATACAATTGTATATACGTTGGTTCATGAATTTACAAAGAAAAGAAAAAAGAGTTTTAAAAAAATGGCATTCACGAGCAAAAGTAATGCAGATGATTTTTCAGATTATGAGCAGGGTTCATTGATTTAAATCAGCTTGATTTAAATCAATTGATTTTTTTAAAAAAATCATTGATTTAAATCAATTGATTTTTATATATATATCATATTGATTTTAAAAGTTAAAAAACAGTGCTTTATTTTTTTTTTCTCAAAATATGTTCACGGTATCTTTGAAATTATCAGATTTTCTTTTGTGAAAAAAATTTCCAATGAGTACATAGATTTTTTAAAAATGTTATTTAGCTTAACTTATGTATTTTGATATAGGATTAAAAATGAATATTTTAACATAAAAATATATAGATTGAATATTTATTTTTTGATGAATGACAACATTTATAAACACAATCTGTTGCATTTATTTTGCCATTTTATAAATCATGAGAAAAAAAAAAAGATCACAATTTTAAATTAAAATTATGGTGTGCTAATTGAAACTTTGTGTTACTAGTTAAAGTAGTATTCTTTAAATTATCTATTTTATCTTGTCTTTTAATTTCAATCATGCCTTTGTATCAAAATGGTCGCTATGCATTATAATGAAAAATTATTTTAGTAAGTTAGAGCTTCTAAAATATTGTTATAATATAGTTTTAATATTAATTTAATTTTGATTAAACATTTATAAAGTTTTTTTGATCATAAATTAAAGCTCTTATAGTGTATTTAAATAAAAATCAAAAAAATCTGATTTAAATCAAAAAAATCCGATTTAAATCAAAATAATCCGATTTTTTTAAAAAAAATCAAAAAAATCACGAACCCTGATTATGAGGATGTAAACATATACAAAGACTAATATTTAACTTTTTCCATTTGCCCGAGATAATTTGGGATAGTAATCTGATGGTAAATTAAATATACTTTACACACAAAAAAATTGAAATTTAAACTTGAGCTTGTGCATTATGTTTTGTTTTAGTTCCTCGTATTTATTAATGAAATTTAAAAAAAATATGTTGATTTTTTTGTATATTTTTTCAAAAACAGGGAAGCGGTTAAATACTAAACACTATTATAAAAAAACCTTTTAATCCTTGTATTTTGTTCAATTTTATTGCATTTGTCTTTATAAATTAATTTTCTTCATTCATAGTTTTTACAAATGCAGGGACCAGGAGACAGAGAGTTCTGAAACTTTCCAGGTTCCTGCATAAATGTCAAAGCATGAAAATTTTTACCTCACATTTTGCAACTTGTCATTGATTGAGCTCTACTAGATTTAAAAGACTGTAAGAAATGCTTTAACTCATATTGAGCATTTATTCAGTCTAAATTATTGTTATGTCTATGTTACGTGTTTTTAGTCGCATTTTGTGAAATGCTTGTTTTCATTGTTATATTTAATGATCAACTGCATAATTATACTAAATATTATTCTATTAAGTGTTCATGTAAATTATATTTTCATGTTGTACTGAATGTTGTTGACATTCAGAAATACTTTTTTTAAACAAGTTTTTCAAACCTGATAGTTATTTTATTTTTAAAGATAAAATTATAATGATTTTTTGTGATATTTTAATTATATATATATCTATCATAATTTTCTCTGTTTTAACTTGTAAACCATACTTAATTATTAACTAATAAAGTACATAGTATTTGTTTAGAAAGGGGAAAATGCACATTTTTTCTTAAACGAACGTTATCTATATATTTAGTCTTTGAAAGATAATAGTTTTACTATTTATTTTTTTATGTCTATTTATGGCAACTTTTTACTTTTTTTTATATATTTGTTTGATAGAATAGTGTCTACATAGTGATAGCGGTATGAAAAGGTCTTTAAAAAAAATATTCTCAATATTTTTGGCTTTGAAGGACAAGAATGTGTACATATAGCATTTGTGTTGTTCCCCCCCACCCTATCTCTCTTTTAAAAATCAACTTTAACTGTTCTGGTGCAACTGAAAAGTTTGTTTTCATGCCATGTTTAGCTAGCAACATAACTGTATTTATATGAACTTAATGTTTGACCTGGTGATTGGTAATTAATAAAGTCTTAACTATAGATATGATTTACTTCTTGGTTTTTACTCAAAATAATCTAATAACTTTACATTCAACAATATACATGTTATTATTTAAGAAAAAAACAAATAATTTTTAAATCAGCTGAAGTTGATAACCAAAAAAAAATAGAAATCTGAGAATTTTGATGACAAAAATAGTGTCATAATAAAACTATGTGAAAGCAAAGTTGGTGCAAGTCATAATTCTCTTTAAAAAATGAAAATAGAAATGAATTAATACAAGATTGAGAGTAATATAATTAATATTTGTGTCGAAAGTGCTTTTTATTAACAAAAAAAGAAAAAACCTCCATTTATAGAATTTTTTTTCCCCATCTACATACATAAACTACAATACTATGGGTGATATTCACCCATTTTGAAGAGGGAAAACACTAATTTTCTGTTTCGCATATTGTGAATCGTCATCACATTAAAAAAGCGGTGAAATGTGTGTCAGTAGTTATCGAAAATATTTGAAGACTAATCAGACTCTTCGAAAAGGTGTTACTCAATATTGTGTGTCACGTTTCAAGATTTACTTTCCAAAAAAATAAAATCTGTAGGGAAAAAAACAATAGAAACGCCTCATGGATTTGTGGTGACATCGCCTCAAACCGGTTATTAGAATTTGCGTGTCGTAATTTCGGTATTTAAGAAAAACATGAGAATATCAATGGTTAATAACTGTTTAATGAAAGCTATTGTGATTTTAAATAACCAAGCATAAATTCGTAGCAATAATTGCCAAAAAAATTATCAGAACAAGACATAATTTTACAATGGAGTGGGCATGAGTTTCGAGCAATCTAGTAAAGACTTAAAATGAGTAGTTTAAAACAGGCTTCATTTCAACCAAATAAAAAGAGGGGTCAAAAATATCGCATTGATTTATAAATCTGAATTTGTAATAAAATCCTTCTCTGTCACTTTTATTGATAATCTCATTTGGATTATTAACCTACTGCAAAATGTTGATAATTTAAATTATAATTTATTAAATTTGAGATATTATTTACATTAATATATTTTACTACATACAAGTCAGTATGTAACTATAATAATTTTTAAAAATTTATTTCTCATAAAGCATTACATATTTTATTGCAATAAGAGAAGTAGGTAATGCTAAAATTCAGCTATTTCGAAATTGTTTTTTAGCTTTAATTCCATTTAGTTTTTTTTTCTTCCCCCAATTATTTCTTAACCCTTCACAGTCCGTTTGCATTATAAGTTTACTTCCCACCAGATATAATTATAATCATAGTTGGATTAACTGTAAATTACAAAAATTAAAGTGGTCAAAAAATTACTTCTACCATATAAGCAGCATTTGACCAAGTAAGTTAAAGTGTCATGCAGCTTTTAGACTGCATTAGTCTGTTAAGGGTTATCTGAAATAAAACAACTTTTAGACGTTTAAATTTGCTTAATATATAATATTCAACTAATATCAAATAGTTGTCTTTTAAAATTGATATTTCGATGACGACTTGAACTGGTCTTAAAAAATTTGATGTATTAATTCAACCTCACCTAATAGCAGTATTAGAAAACTCCTTTGCTTAGGATTATTTATATATATTGAGGAGGGGGGGAAGAAACATTAGACTAGAAAATTAAATTTATTGAAGTAAAATAATATGCAGACAAATATTTTTTGAGAGAATTTAATTGTCTAAGAATAATTTTGCAGAAAATAACATGACTAATATAAATGGAAACAAAATTAAAAATGCAAATTTACTATAACAGGGTTTGATAAATATTACGAAAAATGAGAGATTTCTTGACAGCAATATACTCTTTTTCTTTTTTCAACTTAACATTTCATGTTTAAATCCCTAACTAATAATTGTCTTTCCTGGATGTATTATCATTTAGCAATTGTAGTTGAAGATGAAATTTTTCCATTTGGAAGACTGAAAAAAAAAAAACAGGCATTAGAGAAATAGTCAACTGTTTTATAAATTTACACGCGACAAAAGAATTAAAAAAATGATTCCTATATTATAAGTAAAAAGATAAAACGTTCGTAAAAAGTTAAAAAATAAAATTTTCTTTTATAAGGTAGATTTAATGAAAGAATGTCAATATAAGAAAACTCATTACACGATCAAAAAGATATAACCAGCAAATCTATTTTGCTGTCATTTCTTATATCAACATTCTCATGTATAAGAAAGTTCAGTTTAATGTATCAATTACCATTAAGAATATAAACTCAGTTCAATCCCGATATTTTAATACAATTTTATAGCACCATGAAAACTTGAGAAAAACTAGAATTTTTAAACTGCTTACCATTGTAATTTATTCTGTTTAAAATTTGTTTTAGCTTAGGCAATTTTTTTTTTAGGAAAAAACTAAAAAAGGAACTTTTTAATAGTTAAAGTTCTTAAAACATCTAATAATTCAAAAATTAGAAATATTTCTAATATCTGAAAAATAATACTAAATAAATATAGAAATTTATTTTGTACTGTAATGGATTTGTTTTAATTTTTGTTTAAACATTATAAATTTTCTTTAAAAATATTTCATTCAAATTTATATTACTCTATTAAATGCGTATATTTATATATATATTTGCACTTTCATTCTGTAAGCTCTACAGTTTTTTCACCTTTGGTTAGATTTTATACCCCTCCTAATCCTCATATATATATTTTTTTCTTTCTAATAAATTGTGAAAAATGGTAATTTTTTATAAAAAAGAATCAAATGATGAAAAGTATTTAATTTTTTGCAAATATGTTATTACATTTACTGAAAAAAAAAACTGCTTAGAACATTAATGTTTAGATAAAAATTACCCTTCCAGGGTTGAAACAAACTAAGTTTCCCTAAGTTTAAATTCCAAATGTAGCATTCTAAGAAAATATTTCTACTTTTACAAACATCTTGTGTGCATTCTTATTAATATTAAATCATATTAAATCATAATTTTTTTCATAAATAAATAATTGATCAATTTATATTTATTTATAAAATTAATTAATAGAATATTATGTTAATCAAAATTAATTTCTGGCAATTTTTTAAATAAAATATTATAAATTTAGGAATTGTTTCAGTTTACTGAATGCGTAACACACTAAAAGTGATACATTACTAAGTTTTGTTATTAAAATATGTCGATTGAAATCGTTAAAAATGTGAGAGATTTTGTTTCCATTATACGTCCGAAATGAATATTCTGTGTTGAGCAATATCGGCTAAATACCAAATATTTGTAGGTTGCATCTCTAAATTAGAAGCAGCAATTGTTGAGCAAAATCTTGTATCTATTTACAATTTAAAAACTTCTTGAAAAGGTTTTTTAGCAATTTTTGCAACAACAGGACCCTATTTACACAAATTCACAAAAGCAGGACTCTGGTTGAAAGAATATGACTTAANTAAATTTATGAATTGTTTAAGTTTACTTAATGCATAATGCATTAAAAGTGATACATTACTAAGTTTTGTTATTTAAAATATGTCAATTGAAATTATTAAAAATGTGAGAGATTTTGTTTCCATTATTATTCCGAAATGAATGTTCTGTGTTTAGCAATAACGGCTAAATACCAAATATTTGTATGTTGCATCTCTAATTTAAAAGGAGCAATTGTTGAGCTTGTATCTATTTATAATTTAAAAACTTCTTGAAAAGATTTTTTAGCAATAACAGGACCCTATTTACACAAATTCACAAAAGCAGGACTCTGGTAGAAGGAATATGACTTAACACTTACTTTATATTCCCAAATTATGAATTGTTTTTTCACAATTTTACAAAAACAGGACCTTTTACAAAATGTCTGGACAGACCCCTGATAATTCATAATTTATTTAATGTTTCAGTTACCGCTATATTATGGCAATATAATATTATAGAATAAAATTATTTCAAGTAAAACAGCAATGAAATATAAATGACATTCTTTATAAGTTATAGAATCTCTAACAATATAGTGAATGAATTTTGACATGAATATACACCAGCTTATGTATATTCATTAACAACAAATTCATAACTAGACTACATATAGCATAAGGTCAGCAAAGTTAACTGTCAGATATAATAACCTAATTAAAGATTATAAATAATAAAATGATGAAAAATCCTCATTCATTTAAATAGATATTATAAAAATTGTCTTTTATAGGTTATAACATTTATTATTGCCATCATAAACTTTATTTATAAGGTCAGGGTTCCGCAGGAAGAATGTTGATCTTTTACGTTTCTGTAACAGAAAAAAATGGGAACCACTGGTGTATACTGCTATTTCTTTCAATCACATTTACTAATACTCATAGTTTAACATTAGTTGCAGGTATTATCGATTATGTTCCAGTAAATTTTGTTAGTAAGAATGATTAATGGAGATATTTTTGTATCATGATCTGTCGTGCTAACTACAATCGCTAAGGTGACGAATAGATTTTAAACTTTCAATTTAAAAAAAAACAAAACATGTAGATGTTTGCCCAGGGTCAGCTACGAGTTATAAATTTCCAGTTGGTTCTTTTCTGTGATGTTTTTTTTTTTTTTAGTTTCTTGCGGACCGCTGTGCGCAAGTTGCCAAGATTTGGTGATTTTTCTGTCTCAGATCACGATATGGAAACCTCCTGACTAAGCACATATTATCATATACAGATATCTTTTAACAATTATAAACCTTCTGGGGAAATTTTCTATATCGTGATCTTTCTCGCCAGCTATTTAAATATTATTCTGCCAAACTTAGTGCAGACAGAGACAAATAAAATTATAGAACTTTTCTTACAGTATCATGATCTGAGGCAGAATAATAGATTAGTTTTGGCAACTTCAAGGCAGCGACTAACTAAAAAAGAACCTCGAAGGGAACAACTCGTAGCCACTTCGAAACAGACCTCAGCTTTTAAAAAAATGCAACTTCCCACTTGGAGCCTTAGAGATTGTAATTAGTACGACAGATCACAATACGGAAATATCACTCTTTATTGACCTACACTAATATTACTCACTGTTATTTCACATGTTTGAATACTTCTTTGTATGCACAGTGATCTCTGCAGTGTAACATATCAACAAGTTCTTCCACACAAGTTTCTTCAGTTTTCTTTCGGCTCGTAACCCGTTCAGTGCACTCGTTGAATTTCTCCAAGAAATTAGCACAATGCTTTTGAATACATTTATCTCTAACCTCTTCCATAGGATCAACCAAATCCTCTTCTTCTTCCTCCTCAGGTGGAGCTTCAGCGTGAACCTTAAGTTTTTCAGCCATAATTTTTATTTTAAGAAGGCTGGAATAATACACAAAGTCACTGCTGATAACCTACTAGAGGACAAGACAAGTTTAAGAAACAAATATGGCAGCCAGGAATCAAAGTTACAGTTATTAACATGTTCAATGGATGTTTGACAGTGCAAAGCTAAGCACAGATGGCGCTATGAGTTAAAATTATCATAAGACTTCACATATCGCCTCATAAGGGGTATACACCATCAGAAGTTTTCTAAATTGTTTCTGATTATAGGAAGCTTTTTTGTTTACATTCTATCAACCATCCATTGTCCTTGGAGCATTTTTGGATGAGGGGTACCGATTGGGAATGATTCTGATCACCGTTGAGGGAGGAAAAGTTTTCCGTGGAGGAAATATTTCACCTATCAGGTCCTCAATCTTTCTCGGAGGTCTGTGAATGGCATACAGTAAGAATAATCCTGAAGGACAAAAGGGATCAAACAACCCCAAATCTTGAGAGCCGTACTCTAATTTTATTGATTGTCCTCGAAAACTTTCCAACTCAACAGAAAATGTTCCCAAATTTTAACATGTGTCCTCTAATTTCTCCCAAAACGCTATTTTTATATGCAGTGAACTATAAAAAATCAATAACAATAGCATAATTTTATTTTACAGTAAATGGATGATTGACTGTGTGAAGATAAGCACAGGTGGCGCTAGGTGTAATTTGGAAGAAGTAATTCGTCGTAGGACTTCCGAATTACCTCTTCCTTCCGATCGATTTTTTCACCTAAGCTTGAAAAAGCGTGGTGTTCAATATTATTATACTTGTAGTATTTTCAATATGACGCTCGCTTTTAATTTAATTTTAATCAAAACAGCAAACGAATTCGGAAGATTCCACGTTCTTGCTTTGAAGCTACCAAAAAATTCAAAATACTGCACAAATATACCTAAATAAAGGATAACACTCAAAAAACCTAAAATCACCTAAAATTAGCACCTAGATAACATCAGAAAATCAGTAAAATCTTATGTTATCTTGCACAACTTCTAATATTAGAAAGATAACAAAGATAGCTGTTTGCTCTGCAATATATAATATTAGATTCTATGCAAACGAATATTATCTAGCCGTTCACCGTAATATTATTTTACATTAATTTTGATGCAATATAATATTAGATTTTGTATTTTCTGATACTATCTTGCGTTGCTTTTTATTTTTTGAAAGTAAGCAAGAGCAAGATTTGAATGGTAGTTGATGATTCGGTGGTATAATTTTACTTAATTTTCTGTACTACCGTGAAGCAGTAAAACATAGAACAATAGTTTTATAATGTTATTCCATGCATTATTTACTTAGCAATACGGAAATAGTAAATAAAATTATATTAGCGAATTCTGCTATCATCCATTTTCCTCTCTCTTACTCCAAAGTATATCTTATGTTCAACTGATTTTTTTTAATATTTCAAATTTATTTAAGAAATAATACTATATCAGAACTTATATTGATTTTTTTCTTCATACAATGGGTTTTCTGACGAATTTTATGTTTGTAATTTTACAATTATCATTCATTATTTATATTCTGAAATTATATAATAAAAACCACAGAACATAATTACAAAGTTTAATTTACAGTTGAATTAAGGTGAAAATTTACCTTAAAATTTATTTTTCCGCTTAAAATATAATTATATGTTATTCATTTCCAAAAACATTAAAATAAAATAAAATTATATCTTGAATTTTCAAATTGTTATTGTTCGTAATAATTGAGACAATAAAGAAAATTTAAAAATATTCAAATCACTGACTTGCATAAATTTCTTGCACATTTTTTTCACTGAAATTAAATAGAAAAATACTTACGTAACTTTATCCTTTTAGAGTTTGAAATTTTACTTAACAAAACACTTCAAACAAAACCCAAAGGCACCCACAGAAACATTTTCAGAGAGTGAAAGCAGGAAAGCCTTTACGAATTTTAACTAAAAAATTTACCAATACTTTTTTTTGTTGTGTAAAAATAATTTTACATAGTCACATCAGAAAATTTTAACGAATCAATAATTCCTTAAAGGTACTAACCAACAATTTTAGCCCAAAACTTTAGGTAATATTAAAATTTAAAAAAAAAAATAGTAAATATTGTAATTCATCAAAATTAAACTTGCACAATCATTAATTGCGTACAAGAATGAGACGAAAAAACATATAATCTTTTTTTCTATTAGTTGCTTTTAGTTTTAATGATCTAAGTTTGATTACCATCAGTTACTTTTCTGAGAACGATGCTATCGCAAAATATTTGTTCAAAATCAATCAATTCCATTGCTTGTATTTCGTTGATCAGAAATTATGCATTACGAACATAGTAAAAACAAACATAACGTTATATTTAAATATCTTAAACAGGACAAGATGCAATTGCACAGCATAATTTCATAAAGAAAATACAAGAACTTTCGGATAAAAGTTTAAGCAATATTCTTTTCAACATTGATTGGGAATTTTTATGATAATGTAAATGTTATTCAGCTTTAAGTCAATGAAATTTTTTACGATTGTAATTATTTTACAATTATATTATTTTAATCGTGTTAAAAAAAAAGCATAAACTTTTACTCTCAAATTTCGAACGAATAATCATGTGAAAATTTCCAAAATTAAAGTAATAAATACAGTGCTGATAATAAAAATACTCACAAATTTAGGAGAGACTTTAAAATCAGCTTCAATAGAAAATTGTTTCCCATATCATACCGAAATATTAAAAATAACCAAATTTTAAATGTATTCAACTGTTTTCATGACGCACTTACCTACTATAAAAATTTTCTAATGTTATATTTTATAAAATTTTATCAATCCAACTATCATACCCGACAAATCCAATTTTCTAATATTTTGAAGATTTATTAAAAAACGCAAAACCCTTTAACCCCTATTATTAAACCCGAAAATAACTACTCGCTATGTGGCAAGTCAATTAAAAAAGGCTGCGATAAATGTTAAATAAACAACTGGCTATTTTCTTCCATTGCTGATTTTAAAAATTGTTTAATGTCAACGTTTAACGTCAATGTTAATGTTAATCGTTTAACGTCAATGTAAAAATATATTCTCGGAATTCATAATCTATCAATTCGGGGTTGAAAAAAACATGTACAAGGAAATTTTTTTAACAATTCAATGTACTGAATATATTTTGCCCCCCCCCCTCAAAAAAATTCTTCATATCATTCTTTATAAGTCAGTATGCTTAACTAAATTTTGTCACATATTTATTATTTTTATTCGCAATGTAAGATTCGCATATTTATAATTTAAAATACATAAAAATGAGTCATTTTTATACAGGCTGGTATAAAGTCTTTGAAGTGCTGCATTTCTTATGATTTTTATACTTAGATAGGCGAATCTTACATAATAATAAAAAAAAGAAGTTAGCTAGACATTATTCTCCTTTAAAAAAAAATCCTTTTATCAAAAGGAATTAGTTTTTAATCTAGGTTATAAGAGATAATTTGAAGAGGACAGAAAATGTTTATTTGATGTATTCTACATATTTGATACATTCAGCACATATACAAATTAGATAACGAGATTTAAAATTTAGCGTCGCAAATATTTAGATTTAATATCTCCTTATTTTTATAATATCTCCATATTTTAAATATCACCATACGTTATTTTAAATCGATTTTCGTATACATTTTCCGTAAACCAGTAGTCGGAAAGACTACATTTTTACTTAGTACTTAATTCCAACTACTTAATTACAAATGTTGATAACTGCAACTTTTAAAATGCCGTCACTACTTTTGAAATGTAGTCACCTCTTCACTATTTTTAGGAGATAAACCTCGCTTAATTTACACCCGTTTTTAAAAAGGTTTTGAGCAATGGCTTTTGGGTGCCCCCCCCCCTCACTGCAAGAGTTATAAATGCGCCCTAAATTAGACTCAACACAATATTTTTTGAATCATAATATGAGACAAGAACACTATGAGTCCGCAGTAGACTGATCGTTAAGACACGGTTCCCAGCAGAATACCGAATTCAAGCATCACTGGCTACGGTCAGTGTGCGGGTGGGTGACCACTTGGATCAGCCTGTGTAGGGACCGAGGGTGTGCGGTATTGGTCCTCGTTAAACTGTGCTACCGTAAAGTGCTCGACTTCGCGCGCAGGTCGTCGGGCTACTGAAGCGGGGGTGCCATCCCTTCCGCAGAGGATCAAAATTGTGATGGCATGTCTTCGGATCATCCTCCGGGATGTTTCCCAGACCGTCGCCAATAGCCCATTGTGCAGCTCTAGTGCGACGTAAA